TGTGCATTGCCAATCATGGCGACTTTGTCATTGCCTGCTGCCCGCAAGAACGAGTCGTAAGAATCTTTCCATGTTTCCTCGGACATTTTTAGTGAGCTCATCTTGCGCCATGGTTTGAGAAGGCAAAGGATAGAGGCTCTATGTACGTCTGCTTCATCAGCATCATCTGACCGAGGGAGCCATTTTCCGACGATGTTGGCAATGGTGCGGTGATTCTTGGGGCGCACAGCATGGATTCGAGATGCATGCCATGGATGCTGTGTGTGGTATTTGACACGCATGTTTGTAGGTCTGCCCGCATGTCTAGCGACGTCATTTCGGACTTTATCCCCCTGTTCAGATATGGGCCCTTTCTTGTGGGAAACCTGCTCCTCGTAAGTGTCCGAGATAAACTCAAGGAGTGACATGTCTTCCAGCTCATCGCCTCTGAAAACATAGTCATCCACCTGCGACTTTGTGACCAAGGCCCCTTCTGGGCTCAGACCCAATGTCAGAAGCTCGATGTCACAATTTAAGCCCTGAGAAGCTTGAACAGCATCTGGTGGGGTGGACTTGCAGCCGTCCTCGTCCACATCTGTGGGGATGTCCATATGGCCGCTTACATCTTTGCCATTATCATCCATATCCTCAGTTCTTTGCTGGTCTTGATCGGGCCCAGGTTTCCTAACGAGAGGTCAGTCAATTATGAAAACATCTTTTAATATTTCTCCTTACCATGTCGTATGTTGGAGTGTTGGCCATTGACGCAGTAACAGGCGAGAAAACGATGTCCAATATAACGGTACATAGTAGTGAGATTTGAATGTATCTCCCCAACCCATCAGGTATGAAATCACCTGGGGTCCCGATTGCTCCATATCCCTATTAAGGGTATTTATGCAACGAAACACCAGCTTACGGTTACGGTCACGGATACCATTTGTACGCTCATCTTCAGCAAAGTGGTAAGCAAGCTTCTGAGCCAGCAGTGCTGACGCATTGGCTAACTTTGTCTGCGCTTTGGTCGCATACTTAGTGATGTACCAACAGATATTTTTGGTATCCTCGCCATTCGTGAGAAGTTTAATATCATGGTTGCAGCGCAGGAACACAAGGAGGTGAGGGTTGTAGTTATTCACATAGCCATATGAGCGTTGAGGTTTCCAGTTTCCATTCTCATCCACGACAGCACTGTCAGATAAGGGGAATGGTGCTCCTCGCTTGCATTTCAGCTTGTGAGTATTCCAGTCTTCTCGAAGGCACAGGTTGGCCTTGCATGTGTGGATTTGGCAGGAACGCATAAGACGTCTCTCAAGTGCAGCAGCTTGATTATGGAAATCAGCATTATTGGGATGGGGCGGACGACAGAACCCGACATCGTTTTCACGTTGCATCGCCTTCAACGTCTGTTCGTCCATACCAGGGAGGTGGGCCCGGATATTTGCCTCTATATACGCCTTCATCTTGTCACGGAAAACCACCGAACGGAAGCTGGATCGCAGCTTCTCTGCATCTGGGGCGTTTTGTAGCCAGATGATCATGTGGAGATGCAGGGTTCCATGGTTCTGTGCCTCGACAACACCGACATATGCTTGGATATAACCCAAAATGCCACATTTCCGTTTGATGCGGTGCCCTTCAACCGAAATCCCCAACAGTGTGCTCAACATCGCTTGAATTGTGAAATGGAAAAACTTCGCAGCCGCGTAGGGATCTTTTGCAATTGCCCGCTCACGATCGATCGAGTTGCTAATTACTTTATCTAGAGCATCCAAATCAATCTCCTTCCCCACAAGGACTTGTGCCAGTGGATCATGTATATCGCTTGGATTGACAGTCAGCCAGATACTAGGTGGGCCATATTTTAGTGTCGTGCTCCAGACTTGGCTGCGAATCGCTGCACGGGATGGATCTGTCCCCATCACCCGGCTCGCTGTCGCTCGAATATGCTTCATTAGTCGCTGCACTCCCGGATTTGAGATCGGAAGTCCCCGTGCCTCTTCATGGCTTGCCGCTTTCAAGTCGTCGATGGTTACTTTGGACAGCAGGGATGCATCGAAGTCAAAATCCTTTCTTCCCATTTGAACCTTTGCAGAGGATAGGGCCTGGCGTCTTTGCTCGATACCAAATGCAACAAATGGAAAGGAGTGGTGAGTGCGGAATCGTCTTGAATGATGCTCAAGACAGTAACGAACATGTTCCGTAAAGGACACATTCACCGGCCGACTATCTTCAATCCCACCTTCTCCATACGGAAATAGAACTGGAAAGGCCAATGCCCAAAAATTAAATTTGGGTATGTGATAGCGAGGGTCCAAAGATGCTTCGTTGGTTCGTAGTTTGCCAAAATCTCTTACTAATTTCCATCCGTGTCGAACAGCGTATGGGGGTTCTGCCTCAGATTCCTTGACCAGGTTAGTTACTCCCTGGGCTAGTAACTCTGATGTGGAGACTGCAGTGAGCTCCGTTTGGCTGCTGCCAAGATATTGCAATGGGATGACATCCCCCTCGTCTAACATTCCGCCGTAAGTGTAATATTCAAGTATTCAATATGACCGGACTCACCACAAGAGGTACTAGGTTTGTCAACCCCTTCCTCGCTACATGATTCGTCACCGTCATCAATGTCTATCATTGCAAGAAGGTAAGTTTAGAGTGCTTGAATGCAGGCAGGAACACACCATTTCCAGGTACGTATGAGTCATGCTCTTTGAGGAGAGCACTTATTTCTGTTTCTTGACGAATGGCGGCCTTTATCTCCAAAGGTACGTCATCTTCTGGCAGGGAGTTCAACACAGCCTTGTCCATCGTATATTCTGAGAAGCATTTATTATGCTTCATCAGCCATTGAAGTGCAGCCAATACTGCCTTTCTCCGAATACAAAATGTCGATTTGAGCATATGCTGCGGCACATTGCCGACACCAACATAAGTTACTGATATGACAGAGGCGAGGATCTCCACAGGACGGGGCAATTTCTGCCCTTGAAGCATACTGAGGATATCTTCTGTGTTCATAGGAAAGCTCGTCACATTCCCCCGTAATCCTGACTGCAAGCGTGTAGGATCATCCCTTGGTCCACCTTTGGGAAACATCTTGACGACGAAGCAGCGCGGGTAAATGGGAGATAGTAGAAGCTGCTCTGGAATAGTGAGGCAGGAGAGTACATCAGGTACGTCGCCTATCCACATGTTGTTTGATAGGGAAAACCGAGGGATTTTATTACGCTGAAGGTCCTGAAGACACGTTCTACAAAGCATCGCATACCGTTTCCCTTCAGTCTCAATTACTCCCTTCCTCTCCAACAACATGCCATCGATAAGGATCTGAGCAGGATGTCGGTCCTGAGCGGCTGGTTTCAAATGACTGGCATTTGGAATTTTGTTCACATCAACCATCATACACTCGCGTTCCCAGTGCAGGCATGCACATGCAGCGCAAACAGCCTCTCGAACTGATGCAGAGGAGATTCTTTCCAAGAAGGCGGCCTGGCAATCATGAAGTTCTTCTTTAGAGGGTATATGCAGGAACTGGGTGGAAGCGGCATGGTGATTATCATCAACAAGAAGAGTGGATGTTGTGGGGCCTAGTTCATTCATTTCTGTATCCTCGCCGTCAACGCAAGTTGATGTAGGTTGTTGCCTTTGTTTTGGTGCTGGTCCCGGTGTCGGTGAGCCCAATCTTCTCTTATTTCGCGGAGGGGCTGACTGCTTGTTATCACGATGTTGCTCAAAGATGTTTTGCACATCAGGAGGAAGGGCTAAGATAAGATCGAGCAACTTTTCACGGTTCCGACGAGCACTGGTGGAGACCAAGATGGAGTGCTCTTTGCAAATTGCAATAATATCTGCCATCGTCAACGGTGAAAGCGAGTCCTTCATGGCCTTGCAGCTGTCGTTGCTCCAGTTTGCTACTAAGCGCTGAGTATGAGTATCTCTCAATACACTCTTCGGTTCCGCAGGCATGCGGGAATACTGCCTACCCAGCACGGCATATTGACATTCATTCAAGCCGTTTGAAGTCGTCGAACTATTGCTTTCTGATGGAAAACAGTGCTGATTTCTCCAAATGGGCGACAAGATAAGCATATATTCACTATCCTGACAGTAAATTGACATTTTATGCGAGCTAGTTCCCGTCGTTCAATGATTACTTTCTGATGGAAACGCGTTCGGATTTCTCCGAATGGCTAGTGCTGATGTTTCCAGCTAGATCTTCTTTGCGCTTCGTGATACAGAGGCTCTTACAGGTCCAGGTAAGCATATAGGTTCGGTGTACTCGGGCCTTCGAAGCTCTAACACCAACCCTAATTATTGGTTTCTGATGGAAGGGATGTTCCTACGTAATACAGAGGGGAAGCTCATAATCATGACTCGAAGCGAAACTGTATGTAGACCACTCTATCTCAGGCACTGTCATGGTGCCGAGGACAAATTAGCTAATTTATGGAGAAGCATAGGTCGTTCTCTGACTGTCGGCCAGGCTTTGAATCAGATCTGCCACCGCCACCAAGCTACCTGTCATGGGGAATCCAGGCTTCGCTTCGATCAATTACGACAATTCAACCATTCTCTCTGTCACATATCTGTGCTTGTGATTTTTGAGTAACTGATTTTGCTCTTGTTTTAGTCCAGCCAATCCATATGTCAATGTACTGTTTCACCGCCGCTTCTTTTCAGCTAGAGAAGCTTCAGAAGTGATTCTAGAGTCGGGATCGTAAGTGATTACTTATTGGTTTCTGTCTTTCACCATGAAATGGCCATCTCCTAGCGCTGAACTAGAAGCACCCGTCAGTCTCACATTGACCCCAATATCCATTACGTTGATGCCAATATGTCCATCACTATCCCGGACACCTGAATCCTTTTCCAATAGATATCTCCCATAAACGGGCTAAAGTGACACTCATGAGTTGTTGGGTAAGCATGGATGTTCGACGCTTTCCTGAAAAGGGCCCCTAATATAGTGGCAACATGGGCTGTTAGGTAAGTATAAACTCAAAGCGTTTATAATATTATGACTGACTAACCCTCTTCCTCCTTCATCCCCTTGCTCGTTCAGACCATCTCCAGCTCCCGCTCTCACATCTCACAATGTCCTCTCTGCCTGACAATACCGAACTTCGTCAGCGTCTTGCCAGCTTATACCTTGGTGATGCCAATATTGCGTCTAAGGCTGTCTGGGTTTATGCAAAGGCTCGACGCTGTCACGTCCTCTGCCTTCATGGCATCAATAAGACCACTCTCAATCCCACACCTGTGGTGCTTCATGGAATCTTCACCTTGGCCCGACACCCATTCAAGCTAGTTCCTGATGGCGGTTTTCTCGAGTCTACTGCCGAACTATACTTTGGTCACACACCCCTTCACGAGGCAATGGCAAGAACAAATGCTTGGGCGCGGCTGGAGAAAGTTCATGACAAGGACCTTCTTGGATACAATGACTTTTCGCAGTACATCAAGAACCTCAAGGGCTTTGAGAGTTTAATGCATGCCGGTGATTCGCTGCAACACTCATTGGTCAATGACGAAGGTGCAACTGGCCCGCAGGTCAAAGTCATTCATAGGATGTTCGAGGTAAGTGTTATATTTATTCTTTCCGTTTTGCTGCGGGTTGCTGAGAGGGGCACGTTATAGTCCTGCTGGGATACGATTCGTGTGACAACAACACCTCAGCAAGATATTGAAGGTATGTCGATGGGTCTCACACAATTACAACGGACCAACTGATTTTGGTGATAGCCAAGTTGAAGATGCGGTACAAGCTTACCCCTGGGGATCACCCTGTTGCTGTGAGATTGGCTAACAGTAGTAAGCATTTAACGCAAACTCTACACAACATATAACTCAAAACCAAGAACAGAAAGCCCTTCCTGCAGCGGAACAGTAACACCATTAGATGATCCACGTAGTAAGCATCTAACACACTCTCTGCACAATGCACAGCTCAACACCAAGAACAGAGAGCCTTTCCTGCAGCGAAACGGCGAACGCTTTGGGTGAACCACCAAACCTTGAGTCAGTCACGCTACAGACGGAGCGTACGACACCACCAACAGAGCCCAGCACACCAGAAAACAAAGCCAAAGGTAGGAAGTTTCCCACCAACTATCGTGATAATTCATTCAGTTTATGCGCAGCATTACCGGAATTGGGTGGATACGATGATAGCAGCGATGATGAATCGGGTTTGTTCCCTCAGCATCACCTATATCCTGTGCATAAGCTGATGGTGCCAACAGTCCATGGCTTCTTGGGGCCCGAGTTTGGTTTGGAACACTGGCCAGTGGCGCCAGAAAACATTGACCTCCGAGACAAGATGTTCGAGGAGAAAAGATGGCAGACGAATCCTCTTCGCGCATATCGTGAAGGAATTGAAGGAGTTATTGCTCCTTCGGAGTATGCAACTGCGCTTCCAGGGGCCACTGTACAAATGTCTTTTACACTTGCGTGCCACTTGATAGGATCTCGCACCGGGAAGAAAACAACTTTCTCCGCACGTGTTGAAGAGATAATAATCCTCAAAAAACCAGCCACTCTTGTCAGTAATCGTACAGATTCTGGATCGCCATCTAAGCGGCTGTTCTCCGGACCATCCTTCTCTCCCACGAAGCGACGGAAGCTTGAGAAATAGGTATGTCTGTCTCAACCCCGCCAACGAAGGGAACCACTCAGTATTTGCCTACTCTGCCCCAGACCTAGCATCTTATGGCATTGCGTGAACAAACTCATCCACGATTCAACTCAAAAGGGTCACATATGTTCACAAGAAGAGCCTTTTTTATTCAATTCACGATGTTCGCTTGATAGTTCCGCATCCCATCCCTGATTCAACTCAGAATTTGTCTTCGATTCGACCCATATGTTCGTTTGCTAGTATTGCTAATTCTCTTGAACTCACATGAGTAAATGTTGCGACAACCTGTGAAATGTTCACATGATCCACAAGCAAGGTCATGGTTGCGAAGCAACCTTTCTAGTGGACATTAAAGTCGACTATCAAATTAAGCTCTGTTTGATGAGTGTTTTCCCTCTGAGTTCAGATAAATACAGCGCAATCGCTTCGAGCGATGGAGTCAGCGCAACTAGGAGTACATCAGGGAAATGGATCGCATCCGAAATAGAATAAATAATATTACAGATCGCCAGTTCGTACAACAAGTGTTCAATGGCTTGGATCAATATTATTGAATCAAACTTTTGGACTACGGATTCAGCCCCGAAATAGATGAGCTAAAGGTAATTGCTATGAACGCCGAGAGAGAAAGTCTGGAGGGCGCAAGTCCAGACACGCGCGGACTAGGATGTCCAAAGAGGAAAGCGATGAGCTGCGCGCTAAGGGCCTGTGCTTTAATTATAAGTAGTCAGAGCATCTAGCAAAAGATTGTCCCATAACTAAGGATGGCCCGAATGTAAGCGCTCACGCTGTGAATGTGGAGAATTTGGAAAGTATGATAAATGAAGAACTCACCGAGTTCATATACGCAATGAGCACTTCTGTGCCTAGTGTCCAAGCTAACGTAGTGACATCCAGAGGGTCAAGGCTCCGAAAGGAGGGCGCGCAATTAGTCGATAGCCTTGAGCGAAACACCGCCACTCCGAAGGATGTTACTTACACGCAATCCTACCCCTGGGAATGATGATAAAGGCTTACATCGCGTGTAACATCCTTCGGAGTGGCGGTGTTTCGCTCAAGGCTATCGACTAATTGCGCGCCCTCCTTTCGGAGCCTTGACCCTCTGGATGTCACTACGTTAGCTTGGACACTAGGCACAGAAGTGCTCATTGCGTATATGAACTCGGTGAGTTCTTCATTTATCATACTTTCCAAATTCTCCACATTCACAGCGTGAGCGCTTACATTCGGGCCATCCTTAGTTATGGGACAATCTTTTGCTAGATGCTCTGACTACTTATAATTAAAGCACAGGTCCTTAGCGCAGCTCATTTATTTCGCCAGTATCGGGGCTGAATCAGTAGTCCAAAAGTTTGATTCGATAATTCCAAGCCATTGAACACTCGTTGTACAAACTGGCGATCTGTAATTAGCCGAGCTTGCGAGGCGTTTGTATCATTTATTCTATTCCGGAAGCGATCCATTTCCCCCTGAATTGTTGAGTTGCGCTGACTCCATCGCTCGAAGCGATCGCGCTGTATTTGTCTGAACTCAGGGGGGGAACACTCATTAAACAGAGCTTTGGTAGCGCATGGTCTCAACGCGATTGTTGATACGAACCATGTAGCCGCTTTCCCAGTCAGCATTTGTTGTAGGTGTTTCACCTCGTCCTGTTTTTGGACCTTGTTCAGTTCGAAGTAGTTCTTTACACTTCAAACTTATCGTAGTTAGCTTCGCCGTTGTATGGTTCAGTCCTTTGACCTTAACGCGCGAGCCAGAGTGTTTGTCTTTTTCCAACAAAGAGAGGAAGAGACTTCAAGTTTAGCCTGTTCAGCTTCCCTAGTTTCAACAGATCTGAGTCACTTGAATGTATGGTACTCGTTTTAAACGATGAATGGGATGTCGAACTATCACTACCATCGTTGGACGGATCAGAAGGAGTGAGGTGTTTTGTGATGAAAGATGAAGGACGGACGGACGACGATGTTCTAGGCACTTCCAGCGTCGTATGGTTTCGTACCGTGGGTTTCGCCTTAGATCCTTCTTTCGAGGTAAGGCGGATTCACGTTTATTTGCCTTGTGCTTGGCGAGTCTCTCGAAGGCTAAGTCATTCATTACAGCTTCAGTAGTAGAACGTTTACGGAACAGTTTGCGCGTGTGTGATTTAGGCTCATCCGAGTCAGGGTGCGAGGTGCCCTCAGATTCTTCAGACATAGGCTGTAAAACCGACAGAGGTGGGGTAGTTTCTCGACCCTTGCCCTTCAGGGTCGATGTAGATGCTTCAGCGGTCTTGGTCTCCGTAGCAGAGTAGACCCAGGTTGTTCTAGCCTCGGAGTGAGTGTCTGTCCTCATGTCCGGTGGTGGAGGGTTCTCGGGCTCATACTTCACGACGAGCTCGTGGAAGCGGGTAATCTTACTGAAGGCGTCATCTGGCATTAACAGAATATCGGAGAGGGAGAAGGACTTCTCCTTAAGACTAGCATAAGGGTCAAGTGGCGACGCGGTCTGAGGGAGTGCATGGATAGACGGTGCGTTAGATCTATCGCTAGGTTTCCTATCTCGAGGTATAAGTCCGTGCAATCCGTATCCTCCTCGTCATCAGAGAGGGCATCCCGTTCAGGGGCATCCGCAACGCAGACATCCTTTTCAAGGGTATTTTTATCGCGGGTACAAGAGGGAATTGCATCATCCTCATATACATCCTCGGCTGCGAGGGCATCCTCAACCTTAAGGGAGGGAATAACGGGACTAGGCCCGCGAGCGGAATCCACATCGCTCTTAAGATAAACTGGAGTACTCACCGGATCTCTCATAGATCCATCGGGGTCCCGTTCTTGCGCTACGCCGTACTTGTCAGCGTTCTTCGCTGCTTCGGCGTTGGATATTCTGGGTTTCCGGCGCCAAGGTATCAACAGAGACAGATCGGGCGCGCCTACCTACTAGTGGTGTGTAATTCCGTCCGCCCCGTAGATTCATCATGTTGCAACGTGATTCGAGAAAGGGGGCAAGAATAGAGAGACTCGGGGTGGCCAGTCCCAAGCCGATCGAAAGAGAGAGGTTAGATTAATGAAGTTGTACGTGGAGTGAAAAAATGTGAGCTCTTCAGGTCGAGCGATATATGCGAGCGGGAAGGCTGGAACTCACCGGGTCACGCAGATAAGTCACTGGCCAACGAACTCGATTGGTTGTCAGATATGTACAAGAGGATCGAGCTCTAACTGGTTCGTTTTCTTGCTTTATATACAGAGGGAAACAGGTTATGTAAGCGGTAACGCCTTATACAATCAAGTACCCATTCCCAACGTTTTTTGGATTTGGGGTGCTGGTAGTGTTAGATAGGGGATTCCAAAATCACTCCTACCGCCCTACACTGAGGGCGTTCGGTACAGTATTGTTGGGTGCCGGTGGACCTTCGTGGTGCCTACGTGATGCGTCCTCACGGGCATCTAAGTCCCACAAGGATGGGGGAATTGGAAAACAAGTGCATCAATCTATCCAGGAATGGGTATAGAAAAAGGAAAATGCATGCCGAAGAAAACAAAAGAAATACATGAGAAAAATTCTATTTGGGAATGTGTAATAAATAATTGCTGCCGTAACCGAGAATTGCAATCCCTGAGCTTGAACCAGCGCAATATCCAGTTAGTAAGGCCGACGGGCGTGTGTGAAAGGTTCAATCATTCGACATCCTCTTTTCGGACGCGGAAAGTGACAGTTCCGCCCCGATTCCAGATTTGCATCCCTCTGTCACGATCAATGAACATAATATCCGAAGGCTGAAGGGCAGTGTCAGGGAGTATCCACCATTCTAGAGTACACGATCAGCCAGCCCAATCTCAAGGGACAAAAGATAAAAAGATGTATCCCACTTTGAAACTTCTCAACCTGAGCGTTGTATTAGAAATAGGGCACGACAGGCGATATGGATCTTCCCGTACCTGGAAATGATTGTAAAGGAACTCAAACAGTATCGGCTGCCCAGATCGGGCCTCCTTATTCGCGTTCGGATCGTTTTTCAAGTTGCCCGATGGAGGCTGCATGAAGATGGGTTCGGCCGGTTCCAGGCGTTCCGTGACAGGACCATTAGCAGCTCGACGCATCACATACCTGACATGGTTGTAACAATATGTATCAGAAAAGAACACGTCAAAACCGAGGCGGCAGCCGCTTGCCTTAGACATTCCCACCTCCTGAACCCCATCGCATCCGCCAACTTGAAATCCGGCTCATAGTGCACAGAATAACGGAGTGGAAACCAAAGCCATCCTGAAAATGTCGCATTATGTAACTTGACAACGTATTCGTAGCCTTCGGGTGAGAATAGTTGGAACGGGTTGTGGCGAGGAACAGTCGCCTCTTTCCGCTCCTCCAAAATATTTCGTATTAGCTCACGATTTGCGGCGCTGGTAGCTGGCGTGATTAAGTCCAAACGATCGCCATCCGTGACACCATAAACCCCGAGTGATGCTGAGGATAAGTGGTGTGATGTGAAGCTCAATGCGGGGAATCGGAGGAAGGTTAATCGAGGATTCGTGAGGGTATAGGTCGAGTATTCGACTTCCTCTGCGTCGACACCTTGGATGGGTAGCAAACAAACGTTAAGTCGACGGACTCACCGGCTCCTTCACTAATCCAATCTCGAAGGCGATGTGACTCCCAGCCCTGGTCCTCCTCCAGTGTCTTGTCTTCACCGATTCTTAGCCAAGTCTTGAGATCTTTTAGTCGTGGATACTTCATGTACTCGTCGATCACACGCTCGGAATGACGAAAGAAGGTTAAGTGTCCGGGATGGAACAACAGCACTTGTTCATCGTGGGCAGGTTGCCCGGGAATGAGAACATCGAATTGCGACGAAACGTCAAAAGGAACTAGAAGAGTCTCGATGTGAGAATGTTTAGTAGCAATGGTTTGCGTATGGGGCGTACAATTCCGCTCGAAGCTAACAACACACAGGAAAACTCGTTCAAAACGGTATTTGTTGGAAGATCAACGCAGATGAACTCACTTTCCGAACATTGTGTCCATATCGCACCATCCCCTTGACAGATCAGTTAGTAGACACAGGGCGACACCACAGCGCACGGACGGACCATGTAGGAGTTCCAGGATTTAGCCATTTTCGAAAGACTGCGGAGCGGAATGGGCGAAAATGAGAGTTCACCTGAAAATAGATTTTCAGGTCAGGGCCAGGGTCCGATAAGGCAAATAGAAGCATACCCAATCAATTTTCCCCCTTTTGTAGAGCGCTTCGCCAAGGGTATCTCTTTCTTCCAGTGTGCAATTCCATCGCCTTTTGTCACAAAGGAAGTCCCGATGTAAGTCCCAATACTCCTGGTATCGGAAACATAACTGGCGGATATTGGTATGCTCGATTGAGGGCGGTACCAACGACAAGCCACAACCAACACCATACTTGTCGAACTTGACGAAGAGGAGGTCGATTGAGGGGTTTTCGGCTACAGATGCGAAGAAGTTGGGAAGGTATGATCTGGGCTCATTCGTCGTTGCCCAGATTGCGATTATCGTGATCCTCGGTGGAGGGATAGGATACAAATTCTGCTTAGTTGAAGATTTGGGGCGTTTGGGATGGTGGATGGTGCCAATTCTTTCATTCTGAGCGGGATCTTTGGAGAGTGCGGCGACCGTCATTTTTTTACGGCGGTCGTCCGGCCAAGTCACTGAATCGCCATGGTGCGCTTTCTTGACAGTCCCAGGAAAGAGACAGTAGGTGATACCAAAGACAAAGACAAAGGCGATGATAATAGCAGTTCTTCGTCGTTGACGTGGGTGTGGCATAGCAAAACCGGTCAGATATCGATGTTGAAATCCAGCGACCCAATGGTGCCAAGTTTCGAGAGAATCAAAACGACGGATAGACTAAGGTATCATAAAGAGAAGGTGGAAGGCGACTATGAAAGTGAGTCCCTCCCGCAGGTGCTATACACGAAGCGCCTACGAGTCGGACAAATCTTGGTAATGTGCAGTTTTATATGTATTCACTTTCTCCAGTGCATATAAATAACATAGTTCGAATTGAGATTCCCTTGGCAAAGTCCGATCTCGGGCTCATGAGCGAAAAACGAATTATGTAATATTACTGCTCACAGAAGGGATGTAAAGGGGGGGGGGGGGGGCGCCTACAGCAGTGCAACTGAGGAGGAGTGGGAGTGTGTGTAAGCGGATTAGCTGTGTGAAGCTGACAGCTAATATTACATATGAATGGTCTAATTGGCGTCTCGGGGTCTCGGGGTGCGGCATTAGCCGAAGCCTCCACCTCAATGACCCATTTTGGAAATTGAAACTCAGAGACTTGACACCGCGTTGTCTGCCAGAGAACACTTTTCATGAGCTCAAGATCAGCTGCAGAGGTCAAAGTGCGTGGAGATGAAGCTTACCGCAAAGGTTGCTTCTCTCATGCACGGGACTTCTATCTGGAGGCGATTGAACTTCAGGAAACTGTTACCTTGAGGTCGAATGTGTCCGCGGCCCAGTATGAACTTGGAGAGTATCAGGAGTCCATCAAGAACTCTCAGAGAGTCATTTCCCTTGCCGAGAAGGGAATCGATCCTAATGCTTCTCCTGCTTTGCAAATAAAGAACAAACTGAGGATCGCTCGGTCGTTCATTGCATTGCGGAAACTAGATGACGCGTTGGACATGCTGAATTCTTTGTCTGGCTATGCGGGTATAGATGAGAAGACCAAAACAGTTTGTATGGCCTTGTTGGGTGCCATTAATCACTTGACTGGTCTTATTCCAGATAACAGGGCAGGAGCGGAAGCCAGGCTTGCGTCGGTACCCCGTTATCGTCCCGCGTTATCGCCATCCATGGAATATTACACGGTATGTGTGCCTAAAACCCATTCGTAGCCGTCTTACGCAGTTCCAGGTCGGTCAAGATGCTCCTCAAAGCCTCTTGGGATGTCCGGAGATAACAAATCCCTCTGAGGAAGAGAAACGCAGAGCTAAGATCGACTACAATCGTTTGCGTATGCGTCCATCCGAGCAAGCCTTGAAAGGCTTGTCTGATTGGAAGTTTTCTGCTCTGATGATTGGCTCAGGGGATGCTCGCAATCTCTACGCGACGCTTCTCGATATGAGCCAACAACTTCCTGCGCCAAAACTCAAGAGCGAGCGCAAGTCGCATGGGCCCAAGTTTCATTTCACCTTGGTGAGCCTGGATGTATGGTCTCTTGGAGTACATGACCCATAGCCACCCCAAAGGTTGACATACATCCTACCTCCATCGCCCGGAACCTCGTGGTTCTTCACACGTTGGATGAGCTTGCAAGATTCCCTGGGAAACACGTCCAGACGAATAAAAGGGCACTGGATCTCCTGGCCATGCTGCACTTTGTGTTGTAAGTGACCACATTATTCATCCTTCGTTACTCTGACTGTTGGAGACATGTAGCTGGTCTTGCGCGATGCCCCCATGAATCTACCGTACTCTGATGGACATCATCGCTAAAATTCATGCAAACCCAAACCTCGAATGGGTAGTTCTCGAGCCTTCCACCATTAAAGGAATTAGGCCTACCATAAATTATTGGCTGAACGAAGCGTCCAAAAAACACACCGTCGAAGATATTACTTCTGGAGTCCAGTTCGTATATGTATTTTTTCGGCATTGATTCGCGCTGACCTAGTATCGCCTCTCCAGTATCCTTGATAAATCTGGGAACTTGGCCTACCTCCAAGCGCTGGGGTTGCCGGGGAATGATGTCAGCCAATTGCAGAACCAAGCAGCTTCCGAGCGTGATGCAATGATATCGATGATAGCGCCTCAAATGGAGGAGAAACTCATCGCACAAGGGGAGAGGCCATCTGAGGCCAAGAAGATCGTTGAGGGAATGATGGACACCGGCGTTCTGGAGACTGTGTTCGAAAATCTCGACATCATGGAGGGGTCGGTGAATGAGAGATCGCTCTATAATGAGCTCCGAGTTCTTTGGCCGCCGACTCACCTTATGTCAGAAGAACCTCCAATCCTTCAGGAGGTCATGAACAGGTCTCGAGCGGTGTACCAAAAGCCGCTAGCTGAGAAGGTAAATTTGGCCCGCAAGGCTATTCTGGTGCGTACTTCTGTCGTATGGAATAACGGCAGTACTGACCCTTGGCTCTTTCAGAGGACATGGCTCCCGAATATAACATTCACTTGCAGGTCATTCATCTTTCACATGGTCATCTGGTGCTAATTCTACTTTTCAGCTCCTGAATGGCGCGGCTCTCTGAGCCATGATCCATTCAGAATTGCCAGCGAATTCTTCAATTCTCAGGTGCCAAAGAATTTCAAGCCTGATGACGATACAGCCTCCCTATATGATTATTCCGTTGCCTTTTTCTCTCGCGCTGCTGAGGGGGTCAGAAAATCATTCCAATATCCAAGCAGTTTGATGATCGAGCTGATCGCTAGCGATGGACTTCGTGCAATGGAGTCCATTCGCCTTTCGTCGTTGGGACGTGAGCCTGAATGGCCCATTTTATACGATCGCATTCATCTAAGCAACGTCCCTGATTATACGTAAGTGAGGCCCCCACCTCATCCTTGATCTTATCTTAATCGTTTTCATCTAAGAGGAGGCGCACTAACAACATTCACCGTAGCCAATGCTCTCCTAAAACCTCATCCTTGTGTATGCATCATGTTCGCTTGCCTGCTTAATACAGGATTGTTTGAGAACGGGATAGGAGGTCCATTCTACATCTCCATGAGCTCTTATATATACACGTGCGTCCACCGGCGGTTGATTTTGTTAGGTGGCTGAGCTTGTTGTCTAGGTATACCGGGGTCTCGCTGGACGAAGTTGAAGGCGCTTTCGGTGTAAAAGCTGAAACCCTGTATTCTTACATGGCAAACTATATTGCTTTTTCTCGTATCCCCACAGTGCCCCGGGAGAAACTCTTGAGTAGGCAAAGGATAACACGAGTTATGTATGATATTCTGTTCAAAACCTTGCGTCCGGTCCCTTGGGACTATCCCGTCCCAACGCACATAAGGGAACCCTTGAATATTCATGCTTTCTTGCTGTTCGTCAAAAGGCTAGCGGATATCGGATAGTATGTCTATTTCCATTGCTCCTGATGGTATGTTTTAATGTGCCCTAAATCACTAGCCCTGCACACTGGCTCGCCGACGTGATAGAGAGGATTCTCGAGGATCGTGCCGTGACAGATGCCGTGCCTGCAACTGAGAACCCAGTCCCATTGAGAAAGCTTAGGGAGCAACCCCCTGGTACAAAAATCTTTCTGGGTCCGTACCTGGACGAAATCAGGACAGCGACCACACTATGGGCGCTCCTCCTACCATTCACGGTCTGTTCACCGTGCATGCTGTCCATCTGCGATATTGGGGCATTTCAGATTACGTTCTCTTCCGTCTACCCGGACATGATTATCCTTGGATCAGAGCGCGTCAATGCTCTTGCTCTTCGGCTCGCAAAATCCTCAGCGTCGGTGCCAGCATTATCGTTCTTTCGACCACAGCCGGATGTTATCATGATTTCCACGTTGGAATGGCATCGTCAATCCAAGGTACGTGGTGCCTGTATTTGGACGGGTTTTGTACGCATTTCATACTCAACGAGCTGCCATTAGACAGCGACATTTTGGATGTCAAAGAGTGCTTTAGCCGCGCGTCGCTCAGCAGGTTTCCAGATCGAATTGTGGTCCTTGCTTATGACTCGCGGTGTTACTGAGCCCGAACCGCTTACGGGTGTGGTGTTTTTGGGGGGTATGGACTCTCGGGATGCCCCTGCACCCGCCCCTATTGCAGACTCAGATCAGTTACAGCGTATCTAGGCTATCTATGCTTTCCTAGCATCATCATCCGTTACCCCGCCTCAGCTTATTAGTCACAAGCAGGTTACAATACCCCTATCTCGGTCCAAGCTAGAGTAAGAGAAAATTGAAGAGGTCGATTTCCCTCTGTACGTGGTTAATCAATTCCCTGTCGTTTTCGGGAATTACACAGAGGTTGTTTACCAAGGGCGGGCAAGCTCACCAAACGCCACTCCGCAACGCGCATCTTTGTACCGTGGCACCCGGGAACCCTGTGTGAGTGAAATTGTCCCCTACCGTGGGAAAGGGACTCCAGGATACATGTCCACTCAGTTTTATCCCCAACTGGGTATATCAAGAGCAGTGGAATCCTATGCGTTCGTTCCTTCTTCAGATACCATCGAAGCGTGGGGGGCCGTAAAGGATAGAACTTTCATATGAACGGATGGCTTCCGACGGTGTAAAAACGGCGCCTCTTTCGATGATTCATATACAAGTGCATCCTGCTAGATTTCCGGAGACCACGTGCAGAGATGCGTGCGAACCAAACGAGACAGGTTCAGCGTGGTAACACGACCATAACAGCCTACAGTTGTCCAGTTGGCGCGAAAGACTACCGCCTCGGCGCCTCACAAGTACCTCACTGATGGACACCACCAAGGCTCATACTGGGACCATGGATGATATGGGGCAGGTGGTACTGGCATGTCATGATAAATATGAGCAAGCGGAATCCTGCAACATCACCCAGTTTGGTTTGTAGCAAAAATCGGTTTTTAAAAGTTTGAATGGGAGGACATTGCCGTAATAATCGGTGGCTTATCAGATATGTATTCATTGTGACGGAATACTGTTGTTGCAAGTAGGTTGCCGGATCAACAGGGACCGCCTCCCCAAAACACGAATAGGTGCTATTTCCTCATAACACGAAGCGCGTGCCATCCCTTCCATCTTCTTACTCCAGCTTTCACCCCCAATGAGTTCAAGCGGGGATCAAAGAACACTAAGCAGCCTCTCCAAGAGCGTGAGGTCATGCCTGAGAGGGAGAACATCAACTCGTAATCGGCCTAGTGTCTTCACTGCCCGGACAGACTACAATTACCTCCCCCTCTCTAACACTTCTCCAGTGCGCCCGACACACTCCACTCCAGACGAAACTTCTGTTTCTCCCCCTGTAATTGGAAATACTCCATACTATGTTGAATTCAACCCGAATGTCGAGGACAATGCACTCCTATCTTTTCCAACCCCACACGAGGATTTTCCAGCACGAGATGCCGAGTGTGGTGATTCTCGAATGGGGTCTCTCACTACGGAAAAAAGTGGTCTTCCGATCGGTTGGCTGTACGCTTCTGTCGCCGCTGTAGCCTATGTGTACAGTTTGGATCAAAACATAACTCCAAATTACCTCCCAATCGCCGCGAGCGCGTATGGAAAGCATTCGAGTATCGGAACAATCTTCACTGTGGAAAGCATCATTAGTGAGTGCCAAAAAAAAACCTTCATATTCTTCATGCTCATGAGGGTGGTGACCTCGTCGATTCTGTGGCGACAACATGATGTTCTGGACGTTGCTCGCTAGATGGCGTATCGAAACCATTCATAGCGAAAATTGCAGATGTTATCTCCCGTCCCTCAGCTTGCATGTGCTCACTGGTGTTCTATACTGCGGGCTACCTCATGATTGCACTTTCATCCTCGATTACACATGTCATCACTGGATGTATGTTGTATACTGTGGGCCACTCAGGCTTGAACCTCGTCACAGACATCATTGTGGCTGATATAAGCTCCCTTAAATGGAGAGGGTTTGTACTGAGCTTGACGGGGTTGCCTTTCCTTGTGAACACTTTCATCGGTGCGGAGATCGTCAACGCTGTCCTGAAGAGGAATGCTTGGAGATGGGGATGTGAGTCATTCGTCCTTCCTCCCAGGATATTTTCCTAGTTCACATAACTATTATTCAGACGGGATGTTCGTGATCATCCTCCCCGTTGTCACGCTCCCCGCGATATACATCCTCCATCACAAACACCACCACCGTCGAATGCAGTCTGTATCCCAGAATTCCCCCTCCAATTGCTCAGCTGCGGGAACGAAGCAACTGGAAGACGAGGATGGGACTTACTGGAATAGGCTCAAGAACGTCATAGTGAGGATGGATTTCGGGGGACTGGTCCTCATTGGGATAAGCTTCTCGTTATTGCTATTGCCTCTGACACTTGCGAAGAGTGCGCAGCGAGATTGGACTCACCGTAAGTAGGCGGTCTTCACTCTTCGAGATGACAGTTGAGCATCATTTTCCACTCCTATGCTTGCATTTGAATTGCCGACCGATGGATCAGCCTCTATGCTGGTCATGACTGTGCTGGGGGTGTTATTCATCAGTGTTTTCATGTTAAATGAGCGACTATGGACTCAATATCCACTCTTCCCATCTCGATTCATCCGAAACCGCACATTGTTGATCATCATCTTCATCGACTTCTTGTACTTTGTGGGTTTCCCGTTTTTTCTTTTTCGGTTTCTCTGAGCTGGATGCTCACGAGCTTTGGTAGATGTCAGGTTGGATGCGAACGAATTACCTCTCCAGTTATGTCTATATCGTCAAGGACTGGTAAGTTTTTTATACCATCTTCCTGAATCTATTCATAGCATCGGAACACCAGGACACCCCGAGAGTGGAGCTATTGTGAGTATCGCTCACACCATTGGTCAGACACCGGAGGCCGATCTTTCATTAAAGTCAACAATGCGACCACATTCTCTCTGTGCATCCTGGGTCCTGTCGCTGGTCTCATACAGCGGTACACTCATAGATACAAGACACTCCAAGTTACGGGACTCTCGATACGACTAATGCAAGTGTACCCCACCGGGCGTGCTTGATTCCTTCATCTGATTGTTCCCTTTTCTAGGGGAATGATCTTGACGACGCTTTGCAGCTCAGGTACTGCATCGTAAGTATCTCAAAGCCCATCCTCAGCGTTATCTGATCCATTCTTTCTTGGAGTTCGCATTGGCTAGTAAGTAATATGCCCAGTACTCCACGGCCAACCTGCGCAATTCTTCTACCCAAAACCCTTTCATCCTACACCTAGGTCGCATCCCAGGTTCTCATAGGCGCTGGCGGTGCATTCAATGTTGCGGGGAGTCGCGTTGCGTCCCAAGCCAGCGTACCGCATACTGACCTTGCAAGCGTTGTCGCGATCTTGGCCTTATGCACTCAGTTTGGTTCTGCTACTGGGAGTGCAACTGGTCCGTCCATTCTGCTCGCGTCCCCGCTCTGGCGCTCATTGGTTGTACAGCTACGAAGCTGTGGCGAACTACCCTGGTTCCGTGTCTCATAAAGTATTTGCCATGGCTCACCAACGAGGAGATTCAAGAACTTTTTGGCTCTATTTCGAAAGTACGACAGTACCCGTACAATGACCCGGTACGGCAAGGCGTCATTAAAGGCTAGTCGTTAAGATGGTCCATCTGGAATGACGCAGAACTGAAGGCGTCTGGTCATGAATAGCCTATGAGGAGACGGCCCGTCCATTGTGGCTCTGGGCTCTTTTCTTATGTGCGTGGCTAACTTTCTCCCTTCGTGTTTGAGGTAGTTGATTAAACGTGTGAATCATTTCCATCTGGGACCCATTCTTTTTTTGAACTCCCTATTGCGTCGGACCGCGGTTCTCATTAATTTCCTTTGTCATCCCGTCCCATCGCTGTTTCCTTTCCGAACGGACTTGCTTTCATTTCTCAACCACGGATCCTGAACCATGTCGCTGCAATAATGTTTCTTCCTCTTGGGACATACTCATCATTGCTCCGTAAACGGAACGACTTGATACGGTCCGCGCTTCCACTTCGAATCGGAAATGATATGGACATTCATCTGACGACACCTACATGGGCCGCTTCCGCCTTACCAACAATTAATCGACAACTCACCTTCCACCATCTGCACTCCCAAATCATTAGCAATTCCCCCCATTATCGCGGCCCTTTTCCTTCCAAATTATTACCTGGGTGACACTCACAACGTCATAGAAGGCACCTCCTTGCCCGCCGAACGCCGACGCCCCCGCTCCCGGTCACCATCCTCGCTATCAACGGTAGATGGGCCTGCTCCCAACATATCTCCTAAGCAACACACGGAGGGTTCGTTCATCCAAACCGAAGCCTTACGTGACGCTCCTAGTATTTCTCCCATTCATGGATTGTGCGATGAGCAATCGCCACTTATGGAAGGATGCACGCATAAGTCATACTCCAGTTCAGAGAGGGGGGACGAGCACGCGAATCAGGATGGGAACCATGTTGAAGAAAGCCGAAGACTCATTTAGGATATGAAGGGTTCTCACAAAGGTGGGACCATCACTGCCTTTCCAGGCAAGTTTGTTTGACTGAATCGCCGGCCCATTTTCCTCATCGAGGTCCCTTATTAATCTCTTTCACTCTCACGAGCACTTTCCCAACACGCAAGGACCCTTTTCAAGGTCGCAGTTCGTTGTTAATTCCCTCCGAATCTTTCCCCGAGAACAACCTTGTATGATATTTTCTCTCACGGCATAGTGTTCCCTTTATTAGATGGCTTGCTAACAGCCAAAGCAATATTTTTCGTTCGCCCCATCTCGCGCGCGCCCCGTACGCTCGAATATTCTCCAGACTGGTCCATCCATAAAATGTCGGATCAAGGTCAGTCTTGCTTTAGATTGAACACAGCTAGAGAGTTAAGTTCGAGAATACTGAGGACCGCGGATGAACTCCTTGCTGACCTGTGATATATGAGTCAGTATTATTCGAGAACGAACTATAAAAAGCGGAAGGAGGTGACAACCATTTAGCAACGTTCAAAGCGAATCCAACATGGACCATGTCTATTCCTGTGTGACAAATGGTCGTGAGGCAGTTCAAATATGAAATCGTGCCGGGTCGCTTCGACTTTTGTCGGGGTCGTCGCCACGCTACCTCGCAGTTCCAGGTCGCCCATTGCGCACAAAGTGCCAAATGTTAAGCGGGTCCAGTAACGAGACTAATGACAGAGAAGATAAACTCAGGGAAGTTAGTGCCAGTGGGGAGTTGCCTAGCAGAGCGAGTATATAGAGCTAGCTACACTTCTAGGCGCTACCGCAACGACCATGCAAATAATT